CATTCAAAGAAGGTCTAGTGCTTTGTTTTCTTTTATTTATTGTTTGAGTTTTATCTGCTTAAAAAAATCTTTTGGCTAAACACACTTGTCTCTCCTTTTTCCTTTTCTCTTTTTGCAGGTTACAAGTGTTAAATTTGTAGCTGAGGGTGACTTGGTTGTTACTGGTTCAGCTGATAAGGTAAAACATGCCAACTTCAATTGGATTTGAATTTTGTAATTTATATATATATATATATTTAATTCTGCTGCCTTCGTGCTCTGCATGTTTGTTTGGTTTTCTCATTCTAGTTGCTAATGTTGTCATTGTGGGTTGATTTAAGTATATGTGGGCTGGTATGTTTTGGGAGTATTGGGTTGAGTTTTATCAATTTTGCAGTTTAAGATGTTTGTTATAATATGCTCAACATTTAGTGATTAAAAAATATACTGATGTTGATATTATTGCTGCAGAATGACATATGCAAGAATCCTACATTCAGGATAAAAATTGGTAGTTATTTTATAGGAACATATCTAGTGTTTGAAATTGTAAATGGCACCTGGGTTGTGTTCTGGTTGTCTATTTTGATTTTCATAATTTCGTTGCAATGTTTATTAGGTTTTCATTATTTCTTTGCAATCTCTACCTTTTCTCTGCTTTGCTTGAGGTTTTATATCTAAAGAAAGATCTAGAAATTGGGTACTCTATGTTTTGATCTATTCCCACTACAACAAAACTGAGTTTTTATGAGTTTTATCAATTTTGCAGTTTAAGATGTTTGCTATAATATGCTCCACATTTAGTGATTAAAAAATATACTGATGTTGATATTATTGCTGCAGAATGACATATGCAAGAATCCTACATTCAGGATAAAAATTGGTAGTTATTTTATAGGAACATATCTAGTGTTTGAAATTGTAAATGGCACCTGGGTTGTGTTCTGGTTGTCTATTTTGATTTTCATAATTTCGTTGCAATGTTTATTAGGTTTTCATTATTTCTTTGCAATCTCTACCTTTTCTCTGCTTTGCTTGAGGTTTTATATCTAAAGAAAGATCTAGAAATTGGGTACTCTATGTTTTGATCTATTCCCACTACAACAAAACTGAGTTTTTACGTCTCCCCATTAATGACATACAGTAAATGCAAGCTGTGGTTTCTTACTTTTACGACTTACTTTTTTTTCATGTCGTAAATAATTTTTCAACCATGACGTGTCCATTGCATAGGCCATTAATGCTAATAACGAAGATTTTTTTATGGCTTGCAATGTTAGCCGTAAATAATAAAAATTTCTACGATGTGCATATGACTTGCCGTTAAAAATATTAAATATTTCACGGTGCATAAAAAGTTAGCCGTTAAAAATATTACACTTTTTACAGCACACAAAAAGTCAGCCATTAAAAGTACACTTTCCATGACACGCAATATCTGTTGTGAATAATGTGATCAAAATAAAAATAGGCGCCAAAATTAAATACTCTTGTGCCAAATGGTAAAATGAAATACTCTTCGAATTGGGCCTAGCGCTCTCTCTCTCTCTCTCTCATTCTCTCTCTCTCTCTACACGAATGCTAAAAACTCAGTGAGCTGCAAGAGTTACTACTACTCTGCCACACTCTTCCATTTCAAACCCTAAATCATATTGTCACTAATTTCACTCTCTCTCACTCACTCTTCCAATTTCTCTCTCTATAACCCACAATGGCCATGGCTCTTTTCTCACCAAATTCATCGATCCAGAGCTGCCATGGAGACTAGCAAAAGATGAGAACAGGTTTTCGGAGACTTCCATTACCTTTTACCCGCTTTGAACTCGCTTAACACTCACCACGATTACCTCTCTTCCTATTCCCTTTTTCAGATCTAATTTCTTTGTACCCTTTTGCTGTTTTCTTGTTGGGTTTTTGATTTTTTGGAGAAAAAATTATGTTTTTGATTTTGGGTTTTTTGTGTTTAGATGGATCGGCATCAGAGGGTAGAGAAACCGAGGCCAGAGACGCCGATTAAGAATGAGATTCGTATAACCACTCAGGGGAGGATGAGGAACTACATTATATATGATACCACTCTGTTTCAGGTCTCTCTCTCTCTCTCTCTCTCTCTCTCTCTCTCTCTCTCACACACACACACACACACAAACACACATTGGAAAATTAGGATTTGGATTGAGCAAATCAAAAATTAGAATTGTGTTTTAGGTTGTGAAATTATTATTATTATTAATTTTTTTTTATTTTTTATTTTTTTTTTTAAATTTCTTGAATGTGAGTTGGGGAAAATATCTGAATCTGAATTGGAAAAATTAAAATCTAAATGTGAAATTAGGTTCTTGGGTTGAACATAATTACTATTTTTTTATTTTTATAAATTTGTTGAATCTAAAGAAATTGGGTTCTATTACGAAAATTAGGGTCTTGTAGTTGTGATTGTATAAAAAAAATTAATTTATGGAATCTAAAACTAGAGAATTCTATAGGAACTCCATTAGTATATAAAAACAATATTATATACTTTCTTGAATTAATTTCTTGAATTTATTATTATTACTATTATTAATTTGTTTAGAATTAAAAAATTTGAATTCAAATAAGTACTATAAAAAATTGACTATAGAACGAGTAGAAGAATCTATATGTGATTGGAACAACATAAGTTGATTTGAATGATTTTGTATTATATATGCTGCATTCTTTTGTCATTTATATGGCCAATGTCTTCCTTTAGTTCCTATAATTTTTATTGACTTACATTCATTGCAATTACATTGGAATTTTTGAGTTACCTAACATTCAGGATTTACATAAATATAAATATATGTTATAAACTTTTAGATATAAATGTTATAAACAAGTTAAAATATATCAACTTTTAGATTGTTAGGAAATTCATCAAAATCTTGAAAGTTGATCTAAAGTGAGAAACATATTGTGATTTTGGCATGATAATGTCAGTGTAGAGTAGTTTAGTGCATCTTATACTTTTGCATGATCATTTCCTTTTTTAAAGCTTCTTGCATCAGGTATTTTTTTTAATCCCAAAAATGTATATATATATATTTCTTGCATCAGGTACTGTTTAGCTTTATAATAAATAAATAGTCTAACCTTATGTTCATCATGAGTTTGAGAATGCTAGTTTCTTTCTGCTTTCCTGGACAGACTTAAAATTTTTGTTCTTATTGCATTCCTTGCTTTCACAGTCATGGTGCCAGTTAATTATACCAATGGAACTTTAGAGCATTTTAATTTTAACTTACAGCAACATAGATAAGCTTTCTATCTCAAACATTCCAACTGGATCACATAGGTAAGCAAAACTCTATGCTAAATTTGCTATATATTTTAAGTTACTTTTTTCTTTTGCCATAAATATGCTGAATTAGTTTGGTTTGGTTTGGTTTGGTATAAATATGCTGAATCCTCTCCATAGAACTTTGATCTTTGTATTTGCTCTTGAGTGCTTTCTGTGGGAATTGCCTCTTTTATTTAGTTTATGGAACTTGGTTGTGTTTTTCCAAAAACACTTTTCAGAAAATTCTACTTTCTTGTTTTCTGTATTTTTTTGTTTTTATTGAATTTTTTTAATATTTTAAGCAATTTTTTTTTTTTACTTTTTAGACATACGTAACATAAATATACCTAAAAAGTAAAAAATTTGTGAAAAAAACCTTTTAAAAATTCACTAAATACAAAAAATACAAAAAAAAAAATACAAGAATTCAGTATATTTTTTGTATTTTTATGTTTTTATTAAATTTTAAAAATATTTTTTCACAAATTTTTTACTTTTTAGATACATCTAAGTAAAGTGCATCTAAAAAGGTAAAAAAATGTTTAAAATTTTAAAAATATTCATTAAAAACAAAAAAAACACGAAAACCAAAAAAAATTGAGTTTTCAAAAAACTCAAACCAAACACACTGAATGGTTTTTAGTTCGTTTGTTGTTAGTGGAAGCAAGACAATATTGAGAGAGAGAGAGAGAGAGAGAGAGAGAGAGAGAGATAAAGAAGGGAAAAAGTAAATTTACAGCTTCTTCACATATTTTAATTTAATAAATAATTTTTCTCTGTGGCATGCAACATTTAGCTTAGAATAGGAAGTAATTAAATTTTCTTTCAGGTTAACTCATTTTTTTTTAAGCTTTCATGAAGTTTCATGATTAAGTAATATCCCTTCCCTTCTGTCAATTTACATCCTTTTTTATGGTAGCAATGTTGATTTAGAAACACATTTTTTCACACAAAATTGTCAAAACCTCTGTTGTTACGATTCGCGATTCAAATCGTATGATTCGGTTCGATACACATAGAAATCGATTCAAATAGGTACATGGAATTGTAAATGGTACAGAATCGTATTTGAATCGATCGATTCACGATACGAATCGAAGAATCGCTGAATCGCACGATTCGTTACTGTCGCGGGTCGACCCAGTTTCTCGAACTCGAATGGAAAAAATTCAATTTTTGGCCCAATTTTTTTGCTTTTTCTTGGCACAAGATGGGTCGTCTGGTCTTTTAAGACCAAACGACAGTCCAACCAAGGTAACCCATGGTCCCTTTTTACTCCCAACAGACAAAACCCTAGAAAGACTCACCTCTCTGTTCGACGTAGAGCTTCATGGTCCATCTTCTCACTGTTTGGTGGTCCCTTGCTGCTGGAATCTGCTTTGTGGCCCTTCGTAGTCTTCAAAGCTGTATAAAAGTTTGTCATCTCTTGCGTCTTCAATTTTGTTTGAGGTATTACTAGACAAACTTCATATAGGTAATATAAAATACTATATTCACTTTATACTCCTTCCTTTCCATTACTTTATTGTCCATTGTGGACTGTAGAAGTATCCATTAGTTTATTGTCTATTATGGACTGTAGAAGCACCGAAGCTGCTGCTGTATGGATGGGACATTAAAAAAAAATTTAATGGATATAAAAAAATATGAAAAGCAAAAAAAAAGTGGGAAACAAGATCTAGCATGGGACCATTGTACCCGTGTCAAAGATGATAATAGAATGCATTTGAGATGTAATTATTGTGGAAAAGATTATTGGGGTGGAGTGATTCAAATGAAAAATCATTTAGCCGGAACTCATGATAATGTTGGTGCTTGTAGTCAAGTTTCTGAAGATGTTATGAATATGTTTTTACAACTCTTAAGTGGAAAAAAACAAGACAACATTATAGATGTTGATTGTTTTGAAGAAAAAAATATTGAGGGGAAAAGTAAAGGGGGAACTATGGATGCGTATGTCACAAAGGGGAGGGCAAAGCAACAAAGTTTGAATCAAATGATGAAGCAAAGGGAGCCTGTGATTAGAGATATTTGTAGAGTCATTTATGGGCATGCATTGGCTTTTAATTTAGTGAAAAGCCCCTTGTTTAAGAAGATGTTGAAGTCGGTTGGTGAGTATGGTGTGGGATTGAAGCCACCTAGTTATCATGAAGTGAGAGTATCTTTTTTGAAAAAAGAGGTTAATCATGTGAACGCAAGTTTAGAAGTGTATAGAAAAGAATGGAAGAAGACGGGTTGCACTATAATGTCCGATGGATGGACCGATGGAAAGTCTTGCTCTCTTGCTAATTTTCTTGTTAATAGTCCAAATGGAACGGTGTTTATTAAATCAATAGACACCTCCGGTGTAATTAAAAATTCTATGAAATTATTTGAGATGCTTGATGACATTGTGAATGAAATTGGTGAAGAAAATGTGGTTCAAGTGGTAACCGATAGTGCATCAGCGTATGTGGGTGCCGGTAGATTATTGGAAGTGAAGAGGACTAAATTGTTTTGGTTCCCATGTGCGGCACATTGCCTTGACTTAATGTTAAGTAACATAGGTGAGTTGACGGTTTTCAAAGATACAATAATTAAAGCCAAGGAAGTCGCTGTGTACATTTATAGGCATGCTTGGGTGCTTGATTTGTTCCGAAAATTTACAAAGAATAAGGGAGTGGACATTTCACGACCCCATTCCGCCCCTAGTAGAATGGTGTCGTGATGGCCAGTAATCCGAGATTACCAAAGGCCAACTTACAAAGATTCACACACAATCAGAGTATACATATGGGGCTTACATGTGCAGAAGCAATAAATTTAAAACTAAGTAGTGCATAAGAGCTGTGCATAGATCAAATAAAATGACATACATCTTAACATGGTTTTACAACTTGAATACAAAATAAAATGGAGTACATATTACATCTTGATCAAAAGGCTTCTCAAGCCGACATATACAAAAGAGGTGAAATACAAAGCCAAGAAGCATAATCTTCAAGATGCTAGCAAAAGTATGAATCCAAACATCATGCAAAACACATCTAGGCGTCACCGCCTTCTTGCTCGTCACCTACATATATATAAGGAGAGGGTGAGCTTGGATACTCAGTGAATGGTATAAGTAATAAAGGTTTGAATGAATAATGTCCGGGACCTTTTCCAAAACAATGCATATCATAACTTTACAAATCAAAGGGATGAACCAAGTTCATCTATCAAATTTTTCAAAGCTTCTTGGATGTTAATAACATCTACATAATACCAAAGGATGACATTCTGGACAAACAAGCCCATGCGGAAAACTGTCAGTGGCAAAACAAGGGTGCAGTTGCATTATAGACCCTTGGCACTAAGGACTTTCAAAACAAGGGTGCAGTTGTATTATAGTCCCCTGGCACTAAGGACTTTCCCAGAATGTCATCAAAACAAATATAATACTTGATACAAAAACTAGGATAATCATTCATGCTTGATCAAATACTCTTTCTAAAACAAAGCAAAGCTTTATCAAAACTTTATAACATAGCTTTATTAAAAATACCACTCACATGGCTCTTCGGACGTTGGGGTTAAAGCAAGGGTCCAAGTCCTACAAACACATGGCAAAGTCTATTGAATGCACTTCAAGAAGACAAGAAAGAATACTCAAAGATGGATATGAAATGCACTCTCAAGACAAGCCTTACATGAATGCAAATGATCCCGACATTTCCTTCAAGACTAGGTCAAGTCAAAGAAAAACATGCTGGAAGTTAAAACACTGTTTTTCATCTCGGGGAAAACATGCTGGGTACCAACCAGGTCTTTGCCAAGGTCCCACACCTCTTGGCCGAGGTGTGGTTACCAAGGCTTCAGCGAACGGCTGTCTGCCGAGGTGTTCATGCAAGATAGACTAATGGTGCAAGTGATCATGCAAGGTAGGCCAAGGTGAGATACGATGCTTGGCCTAAGTGTGAGATCTAGGCAAGAGTGGTCTCGGTGACCACACCTAGGGAAAGGTGAAGTCTGGAAATCTGGATTTCCTTCCTTGAAGCACATGAAGAACTTGAACATGAAGAACATAAAGAACATGAATGCTAAGATCATAACTTCTTTATTCAAAATCTGAGATTTCATGCTATGAGTTCAAAAACATGGACCTTGGTACCCATACTTGAAGATCTTAAGAAAACAAACACAAAAACATGGATCTTGATACAAACTTTCGGATCAAAACATGGTTTTCTTTCAAGAGC